TTGGTGGACACGGAGAATCCACCTAATGGAGTTACGAAACCCTGGTTCCAAACCAGTGGTGCATATGGGCTCCAGGATTCTGAGGGAACTAAATGGCGTATGACTCAACTGTTGGTCACCGTCCACCATAGAACTGTATCTTCTTATGTTGCTTCATTGCCTTGTGGACCAGACCCTTAGTTCAAAGGCTCTGGATGTGACCTCCTAAGAAATCCAACTGCTTCAGATGTAGCACCCTGTCAGTATCCCAGCCCTCACACAAATCGGATGATTTATATGGTGCATATCTATTTGGTGTCTTCTGACATTTCTAATTAATCAATGTATAGAAATGAGTGTATTTTTAACTATATTGGTTGTCGTGTATTGGGTTAATTAATCTTTACTTTTACCTGTCTTCTGTGTTCTTACTTCTTGTCGTGAAGATTGTGGAGGTTCCTCGTTTTCCAAGTATAAGTAACAGATGACGTGGATGTAACAAATGATGATTTTAAAACTGTCATTTTCTGAAATATTCATCTTTCTTCAGTGCTATTTATAAGTTATATGAAGTGACCTAAGATGAATACGTTTTCTCTACTTTTACTTGGGATAATATTTTTAAATCTCATAATGAAATAGTTTAGGACTTTTCTTGAACTATTATCACCAAAAATTATTCGTGTTTCCATGTATAAAACAGATGCATTTCTTTTTGTTCTGTAATAGTTCAGAGATTCCAGTTGGTAGTATGGACTGGAATTACGTATGATGAATTTGCATCCTTAGTATGTTCTTCTAATATTTCCAGTGAGTCACAATATTTAAGTAAGGTTGATAGTGGGACCGAGGATGTATGTTCCATTCTGTTTAGTACTTATTGGCCGGGTGTAAATACATCCGTGTTGATGTCCACAATGAGACTCGAACACAGTGTCCTTCGCTGCAAATATCGAAAACATTATCCACTGAATTACAAAGTCCAAATGGCTACCTGAAATGCGGGTGCATCGAGCCAACTCAGTTCCAATTAGGCTAAAATATGCGCTCTGGATTCCAATACTAGTCACCTTCCAAATTCACTTAAACAAAGATGTAAGCGTTTCAAAACTACTTAAATGTAGGAACTATGGCAGAGATTGAAGTTTGTAAGTAGTCAAGTTTACAAATCGACTTTGTTGTCTTACTCTGTAAGATGAAACATATTTTATTCCAAAAAAGACCAAATTTCGCAGGGTTCTTAACCTTATCAGATTATACATTAATAAAGGAAGTTCTACATAAACTGACTGCTGACTGAACGATATTATTAGCACAAACTTCAAATAGAAGTAAATGTTAGTACATTTGACTAAACATGAATATTAGGATATCACCTTTAATCTTTAGTATTTAGCTTGAAGGTGTTATGTGAATAAGAAATGTTTCTGTCGAATTCTATGCTCTGAATTAGCATTATGACCCGATAGGGATGTCAACCTGACTTTTCAATCTTTACGGATGGTTTTATCAGTTTTTGTTACGATGTGGGTTTTTTGAAAAGGTATATCGCGCGCGAGCGGCTAATCTCTAAACCACTGAGATGGTATTCAACAGTGCTAATGTTTAACTCCAACCAATCCACAAAATTGCGCCACCGTCCACCAACGTCTTCAGTGATTTACTGTCTCATAACAGGCCGTTTGAACTCTACTGGTCACCGTGTCTTACTAGAATTCCAGGAAATAACGCTTGAAGCCAGTCTTTAGTGAGCACATGATTATTATCATCAAAAGGAGATTTTGGTAAAGACTGTAGTAATTCAGTTGTTGAGTTCAACAGTCAATTGAAACTAAACCATCATGAGAAACCTGGATGAGCACTGTTGAAGTGTTCCATACTAGAACAAAACGGCCGTCTAGTTCTTCAGGTTTTCCATGTTGTCTTCCTTCAACTGACTCATGAATCCAACTATTAAATGAAAACTAAGTTATAATAGTAATATAAAGACTAAATAGTTTTTGTAACCTAATTCTATCCAACATAACGATTTGTAAATAGAAGGCAAAAAAACATAATTTGTATTTGTTTGACTTATCAACTGACTAACAAATAAATTGTTATTGAACTATGTTTGAATGTTTGTTTGTTTGTTTTTCAAAAAAGTCAATGAAATGGTTACTTAGTTACTTATTTACTTGACGAGACTATAATCTATGAACGAACCAATCACGTATAAGATAACAGGTCTTGGAGCGAAATTCACCTATCCATTTGACTAAATAGATTCATGGCATTCTAGCTGATGTCACTTCGTGATGAAAGCCTTAAGTCTGATTCATAACCTTAATCATCAATTGTAAATTATAATTCTATTTCCTCACACTGGCTTATAACCCTCATTTGTTCCTAGTCATTAGGTATACACTCTGAAGGTCAATCTAGTGACACTCAAAGGTCGTCCATAAATTATAGTCCCACTGTTTACTTTACTTACTTACACCTGTTACTCCCAATGGAGCATAGGCCACCGACAAGCATTCTCCAACCCACTCTGTCCTGGGCCCTCTTTTCTAGTTTACTAACATACATTTACATAAATGTATAAAGTGTCTAACAAATGCCTTCCTAAATTGATATATATTTATCACTATTATACAAGTATGAGAATCTGTCAAAATTCCGGCTAGAATATTAAAATTTTAAAGGGAGATATATATGTATTGTATTTGGAGTGTATATATAAAACAAATGAGGTTGTCTTCAACACTGTCATTACAACTGGTTTATATGGATACAGATATATTTTCTTTGTAAATCTATATATTGCATGTTCAATGGTTATAATTTAAATAAAAAGGTCAGTAATTTATTGATGTATCGATTGTTTGAATCTCCCTGGTGATGTTTAAGATTACAATTGATCAATATCTTATTGACATATGTACATCCAGTGTGGATTGCCTTGATATTATCTTCAGTTACTAGTATTATAAGTAAAAATGGATGGTGACTAGTAGTAGAATCTAGAACCAACGTTTGGTCCTATTTGCGAATAATCAACTGGATGTACTTACATCTCAGAAGTGATGTTCACTCTGGGATTCATAACCCAGTATCATTCGCTTCAAACACCAGTTCCTTACCCACTTAGATACTGAGTCCAGATAGCCACTAGCTTGTGCAATAGAGTGCGGTTTTAAATCGGCTTTTTACATCGGTTGATTGAATCTTTCCATTGATATTTAGGAATGCAATAAAGTGAGTCTCGTCTGATCCAGCTGATTAGTCCCAAATAAGGCGAAATGCGCGTCATGGATTATTCTGTTAGTCAACATCCATCTCTGTTTATAAAGGTCAACAATTCATCAATTTTTTCAAGAAAATAATCATGTGAGAGGAATTCCGGGTTATTGTTTTCTTTTATCAATTTGAATGATCTCAAAATGTTTTAATTCTGTGATCGTGCTTTTACTGATATTAGTTATGCTTTAAGGTATTTAGTTGAATTCATGAGTAGACTATCATGGAAAACCTATCAATACGAGACAAAAATTCATTCATTTCTATGGGATGTAAAAAGGAAGAGATAGACATACATACGGTGAAATCATCCGCATATTTCACGTGTTTTATGTGGAAGATGGCAGATCATGCAAAAAAACAGAGAAAAAAAGAGGTGAAAGAACAGCTCCTTGTGGTACACCTTCATGAGACAGTAGAGACTCTGAACACTTTCCTCCAAACACAGTGTACTGTTCCCTTCCAGAGAGGTAGGAACATAGCCAGTTGGTTATCCAGCTGTCAGTGTTGGCGATGATTAACTTGTTAATTAAACGTTGTCTTGGTATAGAATCAAAAGCTGAAGTATAGTCCAGAAAAGCGCATCGAACATACTTCTGACCCTTTTCTAAGTTGAACACTATGTTGTGATGCAGAACAGCAACAGCATCTAAAGTGCTTCTTTCGCGTCTGTGAGCAAACTGATATGGATCAATATGCTCTTTTGTCGCAGGCTGAAGTGGAAGTATTAATAATTTTTCCATTGTTTTGAGGTAGGATGAAGTTATTGCAATAGGTCTAAATTTCACATTCTTATCACCAGATACTTTCTTAAGTACAGGGATTGTCTTCATCTTTCTCCACATTTTCGGTATAAGATTAGATGAGAAGGATATGTTAAAGATAGCTGTGAAAGGATAACATAGGACGTCAGCACAATTTTTAAAAAGGAGGTTTGGGATTGAAGTTAGATATTAACATTGTTGGATGCCGGCCCAGTGATCTAATGGTTAAGCGCTCGCGAGGGGTGGGGAGGACGGGATCGTGAATGTACACTTCTGAGGAGTCCCACGATAGAACGATACGGTAGTCCAATGCTTCCAGGTTTTCCATAGTGGTCTAGCTTCAATTGACTCATGACTTCAACTAATGAAATTATTATTATTATTATTAGCTTTATTCATTATTATACTCTTGGTACAATAGAAAATTCTCAGAACAAAGTATTTCAAAAAGTTTCCTTTTCTTATTTCTTGATCGATCCTTACGATTACTATTGAGTAGTCTCCAGTTAGATATTAGCAGTTCAAGAATCAACGTCTGAAGAATGTATATTCTTTTCGTTGCATATGACCAGCAACACCGATATCTCTGATTGAGTCTTTTGTAATTTGTACAACGAAAGGTTGTACACTTTTCAGTAACCCACCTCAATCAATTATGTAAATCATAGACATAATAATGTATTAAAACAAGCAAATAAACGAAATTAGATAACTTGTTGAAATATCTAGATGACATGAATAGGTAACCCAGATATTCAATCAGGCCACTATTAATAATGACCAATTTGTCTTGGAAACAAACATCATCCATAATCCGAACTGAATATATACAATTGTCATACACCCTATCTATATACACCTATCTACAGAATATTTACAATTAGTCACCTAGCTAATTAACATTTCTTTTTCGCCAATTTCAATAATCATCTTTATCTTCGAATACCGATTTTTTCACTATTATTTTTCTCTCAGAACTTTTCTACAAAAAAGAAAACACCATGAAACATAAACGTAGACAAATTAGTACCGAATCAAATCAATGTCAATCTGATGTTACAAATGGTTTATTATTACCTGTGAATGAAATCATTGAAATCCCAATTGAAACTATATTAACACCAACGCCACCACCAACGCCACCACCAACACCACCAACAACAACTACGACCCCAACTGTAACCATCAACACAATGCAGAGTTGTACTGAGAAATATAAACTATTATTTAGTAGAATATTAGATTGTAAATTATTTCACATGATTATTGTTGGATTATGCGCATTAGATGGAATACTTGTTATATGTATGCTTCTATTAGAAATTGAATCATTAAAATTAAAGGTAAGTAATTTTTAATATCACTATGGAGATTTACATAGATTGTTAAATGTTACTAAGATCATAAACCAACTGAGTGAGACGTTATGACAAGTAGAGTTGAGTCATGTCCGGATTTGAAGCAATTACGCACTTAAGTCAATGGAATATAGTTTAGCAGGATCGTGAAATGATTAAAATTAGACATATACATCATAGAATTACTTCTCAGTTGTCTGAAGGTTATTCATTCACGATCAGATCGAAAGTTCTGTATTCGACTCATTGTCATGAAATTCTGAGTGGGTCATTCTGAAGAGTATTACAGTAGAACGAAAGGCTAGTTCAGTGCTTCCTAGTTTTATTATTTCTTTTTTTATTATTAGAAGCTTTATTCAACATTATATTTTTGGTACAACATAGAATTCTCAGCATAAAGTATTTCAACAAGTTTCCTTTTCTTATACCTTGATCTATTGTGACGATAAATTTTGAATGACGACCGGTTAGATGTTAGGAGTTCGGTAATCCACATTTGATTAATGTTTATTCGTTTCAATGCATATTGCCAGCCACCATGATGTCGCTGATTGTGCCTTTTTGTATCACGTATAGCGAAAGGTTGTAAACTTTTCATTGAGCATCAAAGTTCATGATCTTAATAATTTTAATACGTTGTTTTGTATTGCATTTTTATCATTGACAAAGTGAGTTGGTGCTTTGTTTGAAAAGATTACGAAATTGCCTAAATCTGTGAACGAAACAAAGAATCATTGACACAACGACAAGACAAGCTAAACTATTTCGATGCGTTCCAACCCTACTAACTAGAAAGAGAAGACCATACTCAGATGAGGGAAAGGTATACTCCACAATCAGCTAGAAGCGCTAACAAAACAAACATATATATATATATATATATATATATATATATATATATATATATATATATATATATATATATATATATATAGGATAATAAGATCCTTAAGAAACGTCACAAAATAGCATAATAAAAGAAGTAACAAACTAATGACATTTACGGTCTTTCCAACTGGAAAATACAATCAAAAGATAAAAATGAGCGCTTTTGGCGCGAAAACGACAAATTCAAACTTTTGAAATAAATTCATATCATTTAAAACAACGAGCAATTTCGTTTGACATTTTAGGATTTTTAGGTTGATAATGATTTTCCTGTATTGAAACATAAAATATGAACATTATTATCATCATCATCATAATCGACACAATTTATTTTTATATTGCGTGATCATCCTAGTCTAATACACGATATACAGGCTTCTTATCTGTGTATGTGTAAGCCTGATGTTTGATTGGAAACGACCCAAAAGTAAGTAGGAAACTTTCACGGGCCGACAGAACTGATAATTTATGCACAACTCATCCATAAACACAGATATGTATCTTAGAAAAAGGGGGGATCTCTTTACTTAAAAAAATAAAGTCGAATCTTCATTACTAGTGTATGCACTTAAGTAGTCTCCACCAGTCATTTTTCTTATATGTAATTCGTTTGTAGTATCACTTATCATATAAATATATAGGACATTTGTTAAGTTAAATGCCATTGAAATAATACTAGTATAAATGTAATGTCTAAATATCGGTTATACAATGTAGTAAACAATCCAATCATTCATAATGAGTATAAAGGTCAACACAAATATAAATCGGTCTAAATTATTACGTCACACTGGTACAGTAAGACGAAATTAACGAAATCCTTGACTTTCCTTTTTAGTTCTATTCATTTTTTTGTTCAATCTTCTCATGTCTGTGTCCATTTCTCGACGTAATGTGTTCTTTGGTGTTGGGGATTTCTAGTGTGGGCTTGCCTTGTGACGCAGTCGACTGATTTCCTCAATGTGTATCCTATCCACTTCCAGTGCTTCTTGTTGATTTCTTACTCCTCTGAGATTTGGTTTGTCCTCTCCCATAGTAGGTTGTTACTGATCGTGTTTGGTCAACGGATTCAAAGAATTTTTTTGCGTAGACAACTGTTAATAAACACGTGTGTCTTCTGGTTGATAACTTTCGTAGTTCTCAAAGTTTCCACCCAACACAATAGAACTATTTTCACATTTGTATTGAAATGTTCTGAAGTTGGTTTTGCTTGACAGTTGTTTTGAGATCCAGATATTTTTCAATTGTAAATTTGCCGAGTCACTCCTTCACATCTGCATCAGGTCCACCGTGTTCACCAGTGATGCTACTCAAATATGTAGAAGTTTTTACATCTTGCAAATATTCTCCATCAAGTGTGATTCGACTGTTACATGTTGTGTTGCATCAAAGAATTTTACATTTCCCTTTACGTATGTTGAGACTCACTGTTGCTGAAACTGATGTTACACTGATCGTCTTCTGCTATATTTCATTATAACTTCTACTATATGAATTAAGAATATCTATTTTTGAATATAAAAATCTTATTTAAATTAAATAAGATAAGATTTATCAACAACAAAAAGAAAAATTTCACAGGTTGAAATCATGAGTCAGTTGAAGCTAGACCACCATTGAAAACCTGGAAGCACTGGACGGTCGTTTCGTCCCAGTATGGGACTCCTCAGCAGTGCGCATCCATGAACGACAATGGTGTTCGGTGGCGCAACTTCGTGGATTGGTTGAAGTTAGACATTAACACCGTTGGATGCCGGCTCAGTGGTCTAATGGTTAAGTACTCGCGCGCGAAGCCAGTAGGTCCTGGGTCCGAATCCTGCGGGGGGCGAGGTCGTGGATGCGCGTTGCTGAGAAGTTCCATACTAGGAAGAAACGACCGTCCAGTGCTTCCAGGTTTTCAATCGTGGTCTAGCTTCAATTGACTCATGATTTCAAGCAGTGAAATTTACTAAAATCTCCACAAAACTCATTCTGAAAAAGAAAAATACCCAAATGTTTTTATTTCAGTTTTTATGTTTTCATTAAATTTTCATTATTTTTCTTTTCTCTTCTTTTAAACATTCATATGAACTCAGATTAGAAGAAAAGGAAAGAAACAAAAAAAATTCTCCAGTTAATGAAACATTCCTCATTTATATTAATCTGTGTTATTAGTTCAAATATCTAGGTGATTCATAATAATAATAATAATAATAATAATAATAATAATAATAATAATAATAATAATAATAATAATAATAATAATATTACTAATACCAATAATAATAGTAATAATAGTAATAATAATAACAGTAATAATACTAATAATGATAGTAATAATAATAGTAATGGTAATAATAATAATAGTGATAATAATGATTTACTAATAATAATAATAATAATAAACTCATATTTGTACTCATAACTTATCATTATTATTAATCTCTGTGCTAAAAACCGTTTTCTATTTAATAGAAAATTAAGGTGATGATGTAATACAAAACAAAACAAAATGAGAAAAGAACTAATTCAGGAAAGAAAAAAAAATATACTTTTCTTTAATTAATTAGTTTTTCGGTCAACATTTTTTTCTTTTTCGTTTTCTTTATTCTTTTTTGTGATTCTTTATTTCTTTTCTTTACTTTTCTTTACTTTACTTTTCTTTTCTCGTTTTTTTTCGTTATCTCATTTATTTAATTCTTTTTTCTAAATTTATCTAATCTGTTTTTAATCTTTAATTAACTTGAATAAAACAGGAATAACAATAATAACAGCAACAATAACGGGAAAGCAGAAACGCACACACACACACACGCGCAAACACGCACACACACGCACGCACACGCGCACACAGTTTGAATCCTGAAAATATAGGTCAATATTGAATAAAAAATTTGAATGCACGAATTTGTTTTAATATTTAGCCGTTTATTATTGAATTTCGAATGGCAACACGAAATGTTCAGGGTTTACTTTAAACAATGTTAAATGAAGATTAAAGATGAGAAATTAAAAATACATAAATACATAATGAATTTTAGTTGTTAATTATAGTTTATTAATATGAAAATGAAATTTTAATTATTTACTTACTTACTTGAACCTGTTACTCCGCAAAGTAGTATAGACAGTCGATCAGTATTCTACAGTGCATCCTGTGCTGAACCTTCATTTTTAGTTCTATCCAAGTGTTGTTTCATTCTTCTGATGTCGGTATCCATTTCTCAACGTAATGTGTTCTACTTTGGTCTTCCTTTTCTCCTTTGACGTGGTCGTTTTCTCCTGCATTTGTTTTTGCGTGTGTGATAGAAGAGCAAGATCATCTGCGAAGTCATCCAGCTGTATCTTAGCTGTCCATTGTATCCAGTGCTTCCACTCAGATGTTGACGTCTTCATGATCCAGTCAATTAGTAGGAGAAAGAGAAAGAGTGAGAGTAAGAAACCTTGCCTGATACCAGTCTTTACTTCGAACGAGTCTGTAAGCTGTCCTCCATGCACGATTTTGCAGTTTAATCTATCATAGGGATTCCGTATGATATTGACTCTCTTCTGAGGCACGCCGTAGTGTCGAAGAAGTTTAAAATATCATCAGATACAATCAAACAAGTTTCAGTATATTATTGAATGATTCAATTTATAGATATTGCTTAACAGTCCAGAATGTGAACTATTAAATTGGTGTATATTCATATTAACCCTCTGAAAGATTTTCGTACAGTTTCACGAGGATTCCTTTATACAATTGACTGAGCGCTGAGTGCTGACTATTATCATAAATTTGTTTGTCAAGATCAATGTATTTTACTTCGTTGATTGAAGGGAGATTGGTTTTGAATATAGTGATCTTGAGTGCTGCTAGAGTTATGAGAGCGGTTATCACTTCCCGGTTGTCCACACTGTTGAACTGTTCTTCTAGAAGTACCTGAAGAGGAAATTGGGTTAGAGGTCATCTTAGTGACCTGGGAGCGTGAGCACAGTGCCCAAGGGACAACTGGTTGAGGTCGGTCACACACGACCTTTCTATAGGTGATTTTCGTGTTAGCTCCGTACTTGTTGAGACCTTACCGCCGGAGACGGATATCCGTGGGATAAGGCGAGATGTGCATTTTTACGGTCGATCTTTTCTAACCCCACCCCTCCTTGTGGGAAGGCAACATCGCTGCTATACTGGCTGTCTGAAGGAAACAGCTCACTGCTGTCACACCTCTGTACATTCAGCAGTACGCCTTCGCCTTCAGACCTTGAGTTTGTTGCCTTTAGTCTTACCGTTCTTCAACCGACCTATCTGACATGGCAGGTCCTTAAGAAACGATTGTTCCAGCTAGTATAGGTCTATTAGTTCATTCCTATAGACAAACTCGACCAACACATCAAGGTAGCAACAACAGTTCAAATATAAAATCTAATGATAGTTTTATGTGAGTTACCTACATCAACCAGTATGTACAATGCTAATTCATCAAGAAAATTTAACTTATCTTTATAATTCAGACTTGTTTAACATTGTGAGATAGTACCTCACTGAAGACAATGGTGAATGTGTCGCTCAATTAGTTGAAGTAAGACATTAACACCGTTGGATGCTAGCTCAGTAGTCGCGCGTGAAACCAGTAGGTCCTGGGTTCGAATCTCACAATGGGCGAAATCGTGAATGCTCACTGCTTAGGAGTCCCACAATGGGACGAAACGGTTGTCCAGTGCTTCCAGGTTTTCCATAGTGGTCTTACTTCAATTAACTCATGATCTTAACCATTGAAATAACGTTTAAAACGTTCAAAACTAAAACATACTGCATATTCTCAGAATGTGTTTTGTGGAGATTTTTAGAAATTTTCCCAGATTGAACTCATGAGTCAGTTGAAGCTAGACCACCATTGAAAACCTGGAAGCACTGGACGGCCGTTTCGTCCTAGTATGGGACTCCTCAGCAGTGCGCATCCACGACCCCGCACCACCCGAGGCTCGAACCCAGGACTGCATATTCATCTGAATATAAAAATTTTCTTGTGATTCTATTACATAAAAATAATTTAAACAAACATTAAAACTGACCTCTTTTCCCTTTTTTTTGGTTTTTCTTTCCCTCCCTCCCCTCTCTCCTTTTTTTTCCCGATAATCCTTTTTCATAGCCATGCCCATTACGTTATCGTCTTAATTTCACTTCATTTATATTTGAATGTATTAGTTATACAATCATTTTATTATTTCTTATTGAAATTCCAATTAAATTATGGACATTTGGTTATCAATTTTATCAATATCAATGGATTGAATTATTAGATGTATGCGTATGTATAATTAGTTTTACAGTAGATACATATAATATCCATCGACATATTACAGAAACTAAATTGAATAAAACTATGAATGAATATTCAATAGATGATAATCTGGAACAAACATTGCATACAACAATTGCTGATGCTGCTGGTTTATTAGTATTATTTCGTCTATGGCGTGTAATACGTATTGTGAATTGTAAGTTTGTTTGTTTGTTGTTGTTTTGTTTTGTTTCTTTATTTGTTTATTATTAAAGTTGGTGAACTGTTTAGATGTCTTAACTAAAAATCAGCTTCAATGGGTTGGTGTCTGACGAAATCTCAGCACGGATTCGAAAAGCTCGCTTGGCTTTTGCCAACTTACGTCACCTTTGGCGAAGGCGAGATATCCGTCTATCAATAAAAAGACGAGTATACTGCGCGACAGTCCGTTCTCTTTTAATTTACGGCAGCGAAACATGACCATCAAGACTAGAAGACACTCGTAAGCTACTAGTATTTGACCATAGATGCCTTTGAAATATTGCTAGCGTCTGCTGGGATCACCGGGTAAGTAATAGAGAGGTTAGACGCAGGGTATTAGGGAATGATGGTAAATCAGTTGATGAGGTTGTTAATCTTCATCGACTGAGATGGTTGGGCCACGTATTACGTATGCCTGAACACCGATTACCACGACGTGCAATGCTAACGGGTGTTAAAGATGGTTGGAAGAAAGTTAGGGGCGGCCAAACCAAAACGTGGCATCAGTGCCTGAAGTCACTAACTTCTAGTCTGAGCCATGTTGGTAGATGCAGACTACTTGGTTGGGGTCCGCGTGACTATCGTAACCAATGGTTGGAGACTCTTGGTGACATGGCTCAGAATTGATCACAATGGCGTCGGTGTATACACTCCGTCTTCCCTTAAACTAAGAGATTAAAATCGCTTCATATCATTCTTTCTATGAACTAATTCCTTCTTCCTGTACTATATCCTTAAATGCAATCCTTCTTTTATATATTACCACAATTGACTTAACCACTCCTATGAATCCGGTGTTCATCTTACTGTACTAATACGGTATGGCAACTTGTACCGATGCATATATGTGCCTGGTCCTACGGTGTAGCTGACTGACTGACTGATTTAATAGTCGAATTTATGAGTCAAATAAAGCTAGATCACCTTGAAGAAATTGAAAGCACTGGATGGCCATTTCGTTCTAGTATTGGACTAGTCAATATTGTGTATCCAAGACTCTTCACGCGGGACTCGAACCCAGCACCTAGGGTCTCATGAGTGAATGCTTAACCTCTAAACCATTGAGGTGGTCAACATCCAAAGGTGTTTATATCTAACCTCAATCAATCTACGACATTGCGCAATCATCTTCTATCGTACTAAGGTAGATACCTATCTCTACCTGACACGGATTAGCTTCGTTGGTCATGGCTTCACACTAGAACTCCAAGCATTCCCTACGAAGCTAGTCACTAGTGAGCATATAGTAATTATCATTAAGGGGTTATTCAGATTGTTAAGTTTTTTGATTGTGATAATGAACTGATTGATGTTAGTATTTATCAATCGAGCTTCCAATTATAGTCTCTACAAAACAATACGATATTGAACAACAGTAAAAGATATTCAGTCAGACAAAAAGAATATAGTAAAACCTCATCAGAAGTATACTCGGGTAAATTTTGTCAGAATCTTCATTAGCCCATAGTCATAAGAAATTAATAAGGCAAAACAAAGGAACTAATGTAATATCTATATCATTGCTTGTAAAAATGATGAATATAATCCGAAAAGAACAAATGGTATTAGTAAATCAAAGGTATGAAATAATTTTAATCATAAATTTTTTATTACGAAGAGATTCATGATCAAGAGGACTAACTAGTCTTGAACAGATTAAACCATCAATTACTTCAATTATAATATGATGTAATCTTTTAGAGGTCAAGCATTCGCGCGCCAGATTGAAAGCCCTGGGTTCGGATCCCGCAAGTGGGATCGTGAATGAGCAATGCTGAGGAGTCCCACAATATAACGAAACGGCCATCCAGTGCTTTTAGGTTTTCAATGGTGGTCTAACATCAATCGGTTCGTGATTTCAATCTAAAACATCTTAAGCTATGACAATTTGTGATCCATATAGTATCAGTTCTCTGAAGATTGTAGGTATACCCTGAAGGGGGGAACGAGTACCAATTAGTATAAGGTGTAGATCCAGGGTTTTCTTCCACTTCATTTAATATCAATTTCAGTAACAACTAAATTATCAATAATAAAATATCTCCTGAAATCAAAAATAACTTCATATGACAAAATTTTGTTGATATTTTGTCAAAAGTGGTTTTAGAACTATGAATCTTATTCTGTTTAATATAAGATCATAAACCAAATTCTCTATTTTCTTTTATATCAATACATTGTATTTCCTCTTTTTAGCTATCATTGTTTCTGTTACTGCTACACATGAAAGAAATATGAAATCATTAAAAGAAGCGCATCATATTTCATTGAAACGTATTTATGAATTGGAACAATTACTTCAAGATAATAATATATCAATACCTTCATTAACACCAAAGAGTCAATCTATATTAGCAAAAATATTTTAAACTTCAATTGAATTTATCATAAAATATTTTATCAAAATAAATTTTGTCATGATTTTCAAATTTTCGCGATAAAAAATACTCTTCACTATATTTATATTACTTATTATCATAATTAAGTAGTATGAATTATATGTGATATTTTACAATGAATTATGTGTTGTCTTTTATAGCTTCATTTTGTTGACTTCTTTATTTACCATTTTAATTAGAATTCCATATTTCTTCCTTCTAATATCTTTAGATATACATAAATAATAATGCATAGTAACAGGAATGCATTCGTGTGATATAAGTTCATTATAGTATTCAGTCTTTTAAACCTGTTCTCATTATTATTGTGAACAAATTCAACTATATTATTATAATGACTGATTGATTTTGTCATATAGATAGATGTTCAATGATCATGATGGTCATTTGTTAGAATAAAACAACGATTTCCTTTCTCTCTTGACATTAGATAAAGTAAAGACATTTTAACGGAGTTGTATTTCATGTTATTTTATTCTCTGTTTACTTGATTGATTTTACTGTAACAGTGATGTAATTTTGGCATGGAAGTGATAGTTTACGTGAATACATTGTTGTATTTCAGGGTGATTGAAACATAATTATAATTTATATGATAATCTAAAACTCTACTTTCTGTGTAACTGAAAACAGTCAGTCAGTCAGTAACAGCGTAGAATTTCGTACGTACGTACATCAGTTCAAGTTGTCATACCACAGTAGCACAGAGATGCAGATGTCCATTCAAATCCCGTAATGGTAGAGATGGTAAGAGTATAAGCAGTAATCGGAAAGATTAGGGTTTGAAGATGTTATTCAAGGAGTATAATCCAGTGAAATAAATTTGTAAAGAAAGTAAAGGACATGAAGAATTCAGATGATTAGAATTTAAGAGAACACAAACAGTGGATACATCTGCGTCGTTGCAAACAATTTTGAGTTATGTCATTCAAGGTCTCTAACCATCGAGTGCTATCATCTGGCGGTCCCCAACCAGGTAGTCTACACCTACCACCATGGATCAGTCTACTAGTCAGTGACTTCATGGACTTGTGCCATGTTTTGGTCTGGCCGCCCCTAGCTTTCTTCCAACCTACTCCTATACCACTGAACATCGCACGTCGAGACAGTCGGACGTTGGGCATACGTAGCACGTGTCCCTGCCATCTCAACTGATGAAGTTTCACTACTTCATCAATCGATTTGCCATCCTTACCTTGTACCCGTTTCCTAACAACTGCGTTACTTACTCGATGATTCCAGGATATACGAGCAATGTTTCGAAGACACCTATGATCAAATACTAGTAACCTACGAATATCCTCTACTCTTACCGGCCACGTTTCACTGCCATAAAGTAGGACGGAACGAACTGCTGCACAGTGAACACGTTCTTCGGTTGATGCGCGGACGGAACGAACTGCTGCGCATAACTGGAAACATTTCTAATGATAATAATAACTAGTTTTGTCAACTACTATATTTACATTGGTGAAATCTATTAAAAAGATAGCTAAGATTCATGATAAGAGATGTACAGTTTAGAAAAGATGATATTTTATTGTAGTTCATTCGTACGATCAATTAATTTTCAACGTATGTACAAAACATGCTCAAGGTTATACGTCAGTAATTGGCAAGATCAAGAAAGATTAGAATAATTTATCTGTTTAAAGGTTAGAAAAAATCACGTGGCAATTTGATAGAAGAGATTTGTTAAAAGCTATTCGTGCTTCGTTGGAAATTAATCGATGCAATTCGACCAGGTTCGAAGTAGTGAAACCTAACAGAGACCACTACTCAATTGTCAATCGAATGTAGACATCTCAAGACTGAGGGCCAGATTTGATCTAAGTAGACCAGAGCTAACGCCTAAGACTGTGCCCTGGTTCAAACCTCACATAGTGCGTCAGTTCCCCATGACGGCAGGCACTCCCCTTTGAAAAGTGTCAACTAGAGTGAAACATAGATCCAGGACTTCTTTTCAAATGACTCCAGGTACCTTACATGGGACTCTATCCAGGTGATCATCTGACCAATTGTTTTTATTATTTTGTAACGTATAGTTTTCTTAGTTGGAGATCGCGCAATGCTCCCAATCAATGTTTGAAGTAACATGGATAATATTGTCTATAATCATTTCTAGTGGCGTAAGTGCACATTTACTATTTAATGTAAACGCCATTCTTGGTTATTCAATCACATTTATTCCAACTTTTACTGTACCACACATGTATACGCTTCCACTGTATTTGATATCTTAGTATTCTGTTCGATTCTATAACGGTGATATAAAGTATGTCCCATGTCAAGACCTACGTTGATTCTGATGATTGACTGACTGCTTGTTTGCAATTTACATAGAACTAGTATCACACTAATACGAACTTAACTAATCATAGTTTGAACAGATCAAATGAAGTTAACAAGAAATCTAAATATTTGTATAGACGACACCTAAATAGAAAGCTGTGCCGTTTGCCAACATGACACCATATTGAGGTGAGTTTTGTTACTCAGGTAAAAATAAAACAAAGACTAAGAATAAATTGTCATCGCATTATTCTTCACCATACATAGTGTAATTTAAAGAAGAGAATTAATACAAGTACATTGTTAATCATATTCGTATAGACACTGATTTAAGTTGACAATCTAAAGAATTACACGTATCTCAATGGAATGGTCGAATGGATCAGTACCATAGTAAAAACGGGCTTTCATTATTAAAACCTGAGTAGACAACAAATACAATTGTTACTTCAAGTAACTTATATCACATGGAACAATGTGAATGCTGGGAGACAACACCTGACCATTAAAATGGTAAGATTTTTTATGAAGCGAAACCCTCACCTCACTTGAATACATGATGAAGTCAACCCAAAATTACGATAGAAAAATGAATGAATGAACCATACTGATTTCGTTCCAATCAACAAAATAAATTAACTGATGAAACTGTTTAAACTAATTATCAGTATGAAGCAAAACTCAGAGTAACTCACGTCTACCTCATTTGAATACGATATGTATCCGTGATTTTGTGATGTATCCGCTTCTTGTTGTTCAATTTGTGAGCGGTATGAAGTGTTTTTCTCTTCAATTAGTGAGTCAATGATGTATCTGAAAGCATGATTCTCATTGAGCATTTCATTTCAAGCTTTAGCTTCACTTTATTTACTTTTCCATCCAGCAAGTGGGGATGCGCTACAGTGTCGTGTTCATGGAATGACATATATAGATAGCTTTAGGTAACTAAAACGAAATCCCTTGTAAATATCATGCTCTCATATGCAGCATTGACTTACTAAATGAACAGAAAAGTGTTTGGAAATGCTAGATATTGACATTGAAAAAGAATGGTTATCCGCATACGACAATGGTTTGAAATAATCAAATATGGTTGGTGGCTACCAGTGGAATCTAGAACGCGCGTTTCGTTCTATTTGGGACTAGTCATCTAAATGTAACGATATCGCAGAGTTGATGTTCACTCCAGGACTCGAACCCAATACCGTTCGCCTCAAACGCCATCACGTTGTTCACTTAGTTACTGGAGTCCTGATAGTCGCCTGCTTGTGCAATGGGGGTGAAGTTAAAATTCATTTGGTATTGTTTGTTTGAATCTTACCATTAATGTTTAGCACTGTAATTGATCAGTTTTTCATATGTGCATGCTGTGCAGATTACCTTAATTCATAAGCATTATAAACAATATGGAGGAAATCCGCACAGGATGCACATATGCCAATAAAAGACTGATCAATTGCAATGCTAAAAATCGATGGGAAAATTCAAACAAACAATACCAAATGAATTTAAACTTCACCCCATTGCACAAGGAAGTGGCTATCGAGACTCAGTAGCTAAGTGGACAACATGATGGTGTTTCAAGCGAACGGTATTAGGTGTCGAGTCTAAGAGTGAACATCAACTTTGAGATGCAGATACATCCAGCTGACGAGTTCGAAATATGTTACTTCCTAAGCAACTCACTTTCCACTAGTCAACAATATTCATTATTAATGACTTTATTCAATATTATTATTCGATGGAATGCAGCTAAAAGAAACAGTAATGATAAACATATGGGTAATATATACTAACTATAACATGGAATAATTGCAAAACACTAAGTTCAATATAAGCTTCGTTTTATATTGTTATCAATATTGTTTAAATAGATTCATTACTTGTCACTTGAACAAAGGCATACACAATGTTGTGAATACAAATGGAGTGACAAAGAAAACAATCGTTCACAAGCACAAAACAAACAAAGCAAAAAGCACCTCTTTTTTTCGAAAAGAAATAAAAGAACAAGAATGTGTATATTGGAATCAATACTAATGATGCTTAAATGAAATGAATTGAGTCGCTTATAATTCAAGGAATGTGAATGTGTATACACTATTCCGAATGCACCGAATTACATTTCTAATAATAGTAATAATAGTAATATTAAGTATTCAATGGAGACAGAAAGAAAAAATACGATATGAAATTGTGCGCGAAAGAAATAGGAAAAAAAATCAGTAGCGAAATTCATAAAAACACTAAATTAACTCTTAAAAAATCAAATAATGTCCTAACAACAGTGTATAGGAACAAAAAGATGTCGTACAGAGTACGGTCGAGTTATATCTAATAGTAGTAGTAGTAGATAGTAATAATTAGGCTTCACTGATAGTGATTCGAACCATGTTAATTTGTTCTTGAACATTACTTGATTTCTCGTTCCATTCATTTGCTTCGTCTAAGAGATTAAAATAAAAAAGAAGAATACGAATAAAGACAATTGTTCCTCTATTTCTCTTAATCTAACAATAATAGTGTATCATCTTAATCAGTAAGTAAACATTCAGTTAACTCCGACTGAAGTCCCTCCGGGGGCTACTGCCGGTCCCAAGCCCGGATAAAGGAGGAGGGTTGGACATAGGGTTAGCGACCACATCCCGTAGAAAACTAACTCGCTAAAAAAAACTAACCAGAAAAAATTATTCAAACCTTTTAAACTCTGCTCCGGGAGTCAGAAAGTCTTCATTTAGAAGAACTATGACGCCTCATGATGAAAGCCGAATTCCTTCGGAAGTTACGAGGCCAATGCCCCGTCTGACAACCAGAGCGACCATTTATTTAGGTACATGGAATGTTCGTACAATGTGGGACACCGGGAGAGCCTTCCAAATTGCTGCAGAAACATTCAGTCAGTCAGCTACAACGTAGGACCAGGCACATATATGCATCGGTCCAAGTTGTCATACTTCATTAATACAACAAGATGAACACCGGATTCATAAAAAAAGTTAATTCAGAGGTGGTAATATGTAAAAGAAAGATTGCATATAAGGACTTTTGAGAAACTTAACAATTATCTATTTTATTGAATACTAGGCTCTACCAATTAAATCATGGTACAAGGATGAAACATTGTCATGAAATGACAACATCAAGTAGAGAACTATTTAAAACGCATGAGGACTAGGGCACAACATAATCACTTACTTACTAAGGCCTATCATCCCCTAGTGGAGCATAGGCCAACGATCACGATCCCCCAAACAACTCAACATAACTAATTGTTACAAGTTTTAGCATGGGACTCTTTTTATCATTGACTATGAAATAATAATTGATAGATTTCAATAATGTCTGGAACGAAGTGGTCATAATTGATGATGGTTACGCAATACTGAGTGTACTAATTAAAATTGAAAATGTAGTGTGAAAATTGTCCGCTTACAAAAAGAGCTAGAAATCTTGAATTTAATTTTTGTTAAGATCATTAACGTACATTAGCTAAAGTGTCTAAACATTGGTAGTAAAAAGAAAACAGCTATTGTACCCCATAGTGTTCAATGGATTCAAAGTTAGGATCAATATATGACATAAATCATCTTTAGATAAAACTAATCACTGAAAACTATTGACATCGCCTACCTTGATAAGCGAAATTTGTTGATGTATGTGTAAGTTGGAAAAAAGGCGAGCAAACCAGAACGGGTCATTAGTCCATAAAGTCAATGACTATTGAACTGATTCATGTCAGCAGATGCTGACTACTCGGTTGTGGTCAGCATGATTACTCTAACCAATTGTTTGGAATAAAATAGTTCGGAATCAGTCGGAATCTACGGGTGAATTTACTTTCAATCTTCCCTTAAATTCTAAGTTTCAAAACTAACATATACTTCGTTCTCATTCCAAAAATTCATACTTTTTTTCTGAAAGCATATTGTATGTCTTATCTTTTCTACTATCAGTAATACTGTTACTATATATACTACTCTATCCAGCATTTGTCTTGATAATTTCATCAGCGCTGTGCTCATGGTTCAGTAACTTGATTCGATACACATATCTTTTAGATTCCACTTTGCTTATGATTGTTGACGAACTTGCAAAGAAACAATTCAACACGATAATCAACCAATAATAGTAGTCAACTAGACAGAGAAATAAGTTATATAACTATACATTACAGTTATTGATTCAAATCGGAATCACAAGCCATCAGTTTTGTTTTAATGATGTCTGAAACATGACAATTTGATATAATTATATTTCACAGGTTGAAATCATGAGTCAATTGAAGCTAGACCACCATGGAAAACCTGGAAGCACTGGACGGCCGTTTCGTCCTAGTATGGGACTCCTCAACAGTGCGCATCCAAATTTGTATTTGTTTAGGTTAACAATCGAAAGAGTAATGGTTCAATAACCAATCAGTTGAAAACAAAGAATATAGGTATTTATAAGTTCACTTGTTCTTGTGGAGTAGATTGCATAGGTCATTCAAAGTGAACGCTTTCTAAACGCATCTCTAAACATTAACCTTAAGACCATCAAAAGGTGAGTGTAATGGAATAAACAGTTCAATAGTGGAACATCTTGTGAACTTTGGTCACATAGCCGTATCTGATAAGTCCTGTAAAATCATTTATACAGGTCGACGATTACATTCATCAAAAGGAGCAATACAGAAATGCTAGCAATCCACTTTTTTTCAAACCTAAACTCTATGTGCACTTTATTTTCATAAACGGTAATTTGATATTATTACATCCTTCCAATGTTTTTAATCTGCATAATTTTAATGATTCGGTATTATCACCTTCATGTTTTGGATTGATTTTTCACCCTTTTCAAATTCTTCGAGTAGACAATGATCCCAATCACAATTGATTCAACATTATAACCTCTCCTTAATTCTCGATTATTAAGCAACTTTCTTTGACACATGGTATGATGTGATCATTTTCAATGGACTATAAATACGATTTTACAGTTTTCGTAAATGACATCGCTAAAAAGAAAATTTAGCGAGACTATAATTTATGAGAGAACTAATCAGGTATAAAATAACAGGTTTCGGATTTTGGCGAGAAATTCACTCATCCATAGTTTTGAAATTAAAGCTAATGTCAGGTCGTGACGAAAACCCTAAATCTAATTCCCCCACACAGGTTTATAACCTTTAATTAGACCTAGTTACTAGATGGACACTTTCAAGGTCAATTTAGCGTCACTCAAAGGTCATCCATAAATTATAGTCTTACCGAAAATTTTCTTTACCAAATTGTCTTATCTCTTTTTAAATGAATACAAACAATGGATATAATAATAAAACTTGATGGTAATAATATATTTAAGATCAGTTCATGATCTCGACTGTAAAAATAATGTAAATAAACGTATGTATTATGTATGAACTGAAATTTATCCATAAGTCTATTTTACTAACCTTCTAGAATTGTTAATTCACCGGCTAGATTTTCAGATTCTTCTTCTGCACGAACAGCTCGTTGAGTAGCCTATAAATTCAATTAAAATTTGAGGATTTATAGCTGGATTTACATATACATATATATAAGTCTTCATTTATTTAAACACATTAACATAGGCATACATGCACCACACAAATCGGTGGATTTGTGTACGGTACCGTCGAGAGTGGGGAGAATCCACTCCCCCTCCCGAAATGCTCTCATATGGCCACGTGCATACAACCACCAACAGGGAAGTCCTACTCACTGCCTTCTCGCGGAGAGAACAGAAAGCGAATGTCCGGTGCTTTAACCAGGTCGGTGGATACGGAGGATCCACCTAGGGGAGTTGGAAAACTCTGACTCCAAACCAATGGTTCACATGAGCTGCAGGATCCTGAAAGAACAAATGGCGTAAAAACCAATTGTTGGTCACTGGCCACCATGGGACTGCATCTCCTGACGTTGCTCCATTCCCTTGTGAATTAGACCTTCAGGTCAAAGGCTCCAGGCGTGGCTCTTTAAGAAAACCACCTGTTTCGATCAAGGCACTCAGGCAGTATCCCAGCCCTCACACAAATTGAATGACTTGTGTGGCGCATATTTATTTGGTGCCTCTTTGTATCAATGTTTATGTGTTCAAATAAATAAATAAAATGGACTGCAGTACTGTCTGAGTATGCAGACCGATACAGGTGATCTTAGGGGTCACTAATCGAACGTGTTGACCCAGAGGTCTAATAAACAAGAAATGGAGCAACGTTACGAAAAGAGATTCTATTGTAGCCGGTGATCAAGAATGGGTTCATATCCCATTTTTTGCCACATGACCCTAGAGTCCATGTGCACCATTGATTCAGAACCACAAGTTTCTAACTACCTTAGGTACATCCGCCATACCCACTAACTTAGTTTAAGCATCGGACATAGTTTTTTTCGTCATCTCCATTCTGTAAACCACAACCCCACCACGAAATGGCAGTAAGTAGGACTTCCTTGACAGAGCGAAAACATTTACATGTTTAACTTATTAATTAAAGACATACAAATAGCATTTAAAAATCTAGACCTAATTAAGAGGATATGCCGTTTATGTGAAGTGTGGTAGATTTTTTCGCATGGACTTTCCGTTGTTCTGCTTCTGATAAATAAAAAAGTTAAGTGCTTTTTATACAAACGTTTATTATACTGTGTTTTGGAGTCAAATGCTAACATGTTCTTTTAACCACCTGTTGAAATAAACCTACCAAATGAGGTAGAAATCACTTATTTTAATAGCTGAAAGATGTAACAACAACTTTAATGTATAGCACATATCGGGACACTGTCTTCTGGAGAGCGGTTCATAAGTGGCTAAAATACAGTTATCTTTTAACCAATAGGTGACAGGTTCAAAATCAAACACTATAGAGTGTGGCGCATATATATTGGCGCTGTCTTGTACCAATATTTATGTGTTCAAATAAATAGTAAATAATAATAAATAAACACTATAGACGTCAGTTAGAACAGCCCAATAGAAACACTAACCCTCACACAAAAAACATGCGGCTTAAAGTTAAGCAAAGAAATTTGCACTTAGTAAATGAATCATGTTACTGTTATTATTCATGTCTTCAGTTTATAGGTCTCTCAATTGAGTGGTCTTCAACTATTAAAAATAAGCTATTTAATGCAACATATAATCTGGCCATCATGGAAATTTTATGGTGAAAACAAATGTTCAAGAGATATTCTGCCGAACATGAAGAACTATTTTTGTGATCCACTAAGTATACAATGAAAAGAAGTAGATAATAAAGAATATTCTAGTAAACTATGACCAGAAAGAAAACGTAACTATTATACGGAGTCATACAGTGTCACAATTGCTGCACAAGGAAAACCATTATTGCTCTATGTCTTCCCTTAAAGTATGAGATTAAAATCGCTTCATGTCGTTCTTTCTATCAACTATTTCTTTCTTCCTATACTATGTCCTTATATGCAATCTTTTTTTTATATATTACAACTATTGAATTAACTACTTCTATGAATCCGGTGTTAATCTTGCTTTGCTAATGCGGTATGGCAACTTGGACCGATACATATTTGTGCCTGGTTCTACGTTGTAGCTGACTGACTGACTTTGGATGAATTTTACGCCCAGGAAGTAATAATGTTCCGAGCGATATTCATACTGTCCACCGACGACGGCACAAACACTAATGTACTCAAGTTACTATCATAAACTATTTGAAAGAACCAGGATCTGATCTTTTAATGTACACAGATGGTTTGGTGATTGAACCAATTGTCTTTCCAACAGGTACTAGATTCATGCCCCTCCGTATTTATCATGATTTAAACAGTGGGTTAATGACACTAACCCTTCCATAAAATGTACAGTTGACAAATTAATCAATGATCAAACGGAAAAGACGATTAAGAGTTGGCAGGAAAACAAAATATGGAGGTCAAGGTTAAACACAGTAAATGAATGTTTGTTAATTTAGTGTTGTCAAAATCACTAAATAACATGAAGTTACTATGTAGGCAATAATCACTAACCACACTTGGTTAATGATAAATTGTTTGGATAATCGGTTGAATTGTTCAAATTTGTAGTTAATAACTACTGATATAAAACAGTATCATTCCACCTTAGATTTGGCTGATCTTCTTTATATACAAACGATTCATCTTGTGATTATCAAACAAAGCGTATTCCTGATATTCTTTGCCTGTGAATGGTCAAAGAATATGATGTGATTATTATAACAGTAAATTTGCAAGGTTAACGACCGAAATAAGGAATATATGAAAACTCCGAATGCTCTGCAATATGAAGGCTGTAGGAATGTATGTTTTTCTGTGCTGATCAGTAGTTGACAGTAATATTAATAGATGAGGACAATACCAGTTACACGTAGAAGTGAACAGTTATCTAAACTGATTAAAAGGCTGGTAGTGAGATAATCACACACACAGATAGATCCAGTTACGTCGTAATCGGAAAGAAGTGAAGAGACGAATGAAGAAATGACAAACAGTGAGTTATTTCTGGGAGTATTGTTTCACTTACCTCGAAATCTGTGAATTACAAACACTTAATTATGTGCCTTATTTATCCAACGCATCATAGGGTCTCCCTTAACCTACAAATTAGTGTTATATTACCTACCATTACAAGATTATTGCAATTTAAACAAGATCCTTTTATGCTGTTTCTGCAATATTATACTGATCTCACTCATTGACATTGTGACCCAATTATTCACTTATTTGTCCATGTACCTTTTTGAATTAAAAGAATCAGGTAAATCCGTGGCAACCAGTCAGGTCACTGGTCAGTGATAGGATGGTTCTACTTTTATCTGCCCTCGGAGCTGTTCGGTCACAAACCAAAATCATGGGTTACATGTGTCAGGATTGAGCTAGGTAACTTAGCACATCGAGACCGTAGGATATTTAAAGTCTGGTTTCTCTCCAAATTAAACAAAGACTAATGGGCAAGCGAAATCAAAACACTGTTTTACAGAACAGAAAGAATATGTACTTCCGATACACTAGAAGAGGAAGTTATGAATGTTAAAAAATGTTTAAAGAATAATGGATACCCGCTGAAATTTATTGAGAAATACGGCAAATGTGAAGTTAAAAAGCCGAAAGAAATTACAGCAAATAAAAAGCCTATTTTTATTAAACTTCAATTCAAAGGTGACGATGTCACAGGATCAATCAATATGAGATTAAAAACTGCACTGACAAGAACTTATCCTGCAGCGAAATTGATTGTCCTGTCCAAAACAACATGCTCTTTGACACAATCAAAGGTCGACAGGTATCCCTTTCATGTTACCACCAACTGTGTACACAAATTTACATGTACCTGCCAAAGCAGTTACATTGGTAGAACAGAAAGGAGAGCCTACGTCCGATTCAAAGAACATATTTCGAAAAGTTTAAGGTTAAATGGATTGAACGCATTCAACAGTGCTATCGCAAGACATCTCCTTGATACAGGACATAAAGCTGATATACTGAAGTCCTTCAAGGTGATTAACAAACAATCAAACTCGAACCTTTTGAAATTTGCTGAAGCGTTAGCAATCAAACGCTTACAACCAGATCTATGTATACAAAAAGAGACAGTAATAAATCTTTCTTTACCCTGGTAACAATAACCCCCACTCTTTCTATTAATTTGCTCCTATTTATTTATTACGTCATTATTGCAACTCTTTCTGAAATATAAATTACATCATACATAAATGATTGATTTCAATTCATATTTTCTTTATTACCATTAATCTATTTTCATGAGTTCTAATCACTATTTCCAATGTTCTAGAACTTTCCCTCTCTAACTTTATTTATTTATTTATTCGAATCAAACATTTTATGAGCTCATTAACTTTATCTGAATCTTTGCTTGCTACATCATCATACACATGTATTGATCCTTAATCACACTCTTATGTATAAATATGTCAATATCTGTAATAATGCTGAATTTCAAATATTTTAGGTTGTAAGCAGCTGATGAGAACCTAACGAAATAAAATGAATTCATATTATTCTGCACCAATCTTTGTTCTTGCTCTATTTAAGATAATAAAGGGAACTATGTGTATGAAAGAAATCAAGGTTGTTATAAAAGTACAGGACACTTCGGAGAACCATTCAGCTAGCTTTAACTATCTACTACCAGCACCCTGAAAGGTAGACTAAAGTATGGACTCTAAATATCAGTGAATTTTGGGAGCCTTGACTTATGAGGTGAAAGATCGAAGTAGTCATCGATGAATTCATTCTAGAAGCACAGAGTAAACTTCCAAGTTTTGTTATTACGACTGATACATTATTTACAATTCGGTAGTCAAACAGCTACATCTAAACGATACAGAGTGCCTATTGTTCCAGTTTATAAACAAAAACAAAGGTAAAGATGGCATGAAAACTGAAAAATTTGGATGACTGAAGTAGTAAGTCACCTACTAAGTTATCATAGCTATCAGAACTGAATCCGAGAAATCTGTGAAAATCAGACAAGCTTCAGATCTAGTCGAGGAAGTTTCATCAGTATGTTTATACTTTGCCTCACTTTGAAGTGCCTTTCTATCTACTTAGGTGAGGGCAACATGGTAATACTACTAGATACTACATAAACAAACACTCCAAGTCAAACACAAACAAGTACTTAGTAAATGAGTTGCATTATGTAGCTTTAGCTATATTATCATTTTACGTGGCTACTTCGGGTAGTATTCTACGAAGATTTTCGATTTTTGTTCCTATATAACTTTGTTATTAGGTAATACAAGAGGTATTGTTTGCTTTAATCATTTTCTTAGAGGTTGATCTTATTTATATAGATACAAAACATTAGATGAAATTGTATGAAATTAAAATGTTGAGAAAGTTTATTTTCTTCTAAACATTTTAGATAACAAAACCATGAACTTTCGGAATTTTCTCAGGTTCAAATTAAGACAGAGAAAGTCAAACGAATAGACATACAAGCAGAAAAATAGGAATATTAACAACAGTCGCGAGTTGAGAGGATCAAGTCAAAAGAAACAACTTAAAATAGTAAGTAAGTGTGAAGATGTGCTTAAAACTAAGGCGGGTATAAGGAATTGATGTATTCGCACTACATCAGTCGATTTTAAGATATATTCCTCAGTTTCTTCTCCTCCATATTAAAATACAAAATTTCGTCCCATTTTACTGAGCTTAGAACAACAGTTGACTATTTTTTATAGATTAGCATTTTCCTTAAATGGTCAACCACAGCGACTTTCCGACCCTCCTTAACATCCAATAATAAAACATTGAGGTAGACGGTGCTTGAAAACATGTAACACATCTCGCCAACCCCAAATGACAGAGGTTCAAAATGTTAATTTATATAGCTCTTTGAACAAATTATACTTCTAGGAGGTACATTATCTTTTAAGTAGTAAGCAGATTGTCTAAAATGTATACCGTCATAACTCTATTAATTAAAAGTGGAAGGCAAAACTAGATGCTCTTCAAATGATTGATTACCTTCATTTCTGCAGTTGTTCGTACTGAAACTTGCATAAAGTATTGATAAACAAGCAGACCATTGCGATATTCCTTCGTTAGTCGTAAAAACGATAATTAATTAGCCAGATGATTGGAAACGATGGTATTTTATTTGCAACTATGATTATAAACATCAGGTTGTGACTTTTTCTTTTGTAAATGGAGCGATGGATCAGTGGTTTGACTTTAGGCCACTGAGTCATAGGTCCAAAGCTCGATCCACCTAGTTTATATCCAAAAACCGGACAGTATCGCTAGTCATCACAATGTGGTTGATAGTTAAGCACATGAACACGTACCTGGTTGATTAGTAAAAATAAACTACCTTACAGTAAAAATTAGCCCCGAATGCTATTCACCACTTGCCTTTTGTACATATAAGATATCCATACAAGGATATACTTTCCTAAAAATTATTAACAGCAAAAAGGCCAAAACAGTAACACTTATATACATTAGTTAACGCTGTCAGCAGATGAAGGCTGAAATAGAATCTTACTAATAAGCTTTTTATGGGTGTTCTACTTTTAATTCAAAATAATACTCCCCAAATCTCCTTGTAAATAAGAAAAACATGAGTTACTTACGGAATTAATTTGTTCTGTCAGTTCCCTGATTTTTTCCTCCAGCATTTCTATGCGTTTATTTGCCTGTAAAGAAATCAATTTTCAAACAAAATCATACGAGATATGGACTCATCAAAATACTAAGTTAGAGAAAAGTCAGATGTGATGCTGGCCTCATTGAGTATGGCCAAACAATACAGCTATTTAGTGGAAAATGTGGTAAAGTGCAGAACCTTGAATAATGAGAGTACTGTAATAAGTATAACACAAACAGGTTTATATTTGTTTTATGGAGGATGTTTTTATGGCTTGACTAGATGGAATTTACGATTGTCAAAATGAATGGACAGAATGCTGGCCGATAGATGAAAGAAACGATATGTGACCGAACAATGGTTATTCACAAGACCATATCGAATTAGGACCCCATACAATTAGAAATCAAAGACAATAAAACTAGTCACATGAAGTTTTTCGTGCAACAAAAGCTTACATATATGATATAAACACAAATTAAACGCGATAAAATACTACTTATTTATTTGAATACAAATATTGGTACAGAGAGGTACCAAATAAATATGCGCCACACAAGTCATTCAATTTGTGTGAGGGCTGGGATACTGCCTGAGTGCCTTGATCGAAACAGGTGGTTTTCTTAAAGAGCCACGCCTGGAGCCTTTGACCTGAAGGTCTAATTCACAAGGGAATGGAGCAACGTCAGGAGATGCAGTCCCATGGTGGCCAGTGACCAACAATTGGTTTTTACACCATTTGTTCTTTCAGGATCCTGCAGCTCATGTGAACCATTGGTTTGGAGTCAGAGTTTTCTAACTCCCCTAGGTGGATCCTCCGTATCCACCGACCCGGTTAAAGCACCGGACATTCGCTTTCTGTCCTCTCAATTTCGTAAAGAACACGCCCTCCGCGAGAAGGCAGTGAGTAGGATTTCCTTGTTAGTGGTTGTATACGCGTGGTCGTTTGAGAGCATTGCGGGAAGGAGAGCTGACTCTTTCCACCCTCGGTCGTACCAAGGCATTTGGGGGCGATAAAATGCTATAAGCGATTGGAGGGAATTAATTTTTAGGTCACTAATTCTCCAATCAATGAAGACCTACACGAAAACACTACGAATTTAAAGTGAATACTGGGACCATTTAAAATGATCCAAAGCTTTTTGGCTGAACTCATTACAAACCAAAGGATCTAATCAAGCCAAATCGAGCAATTCACTAGAAGATAAATATAAGATAATTCACTTGACTCTACAGGAACTACTACTCCAGTTTTGAGTACAACATAAATCTGAGACAGTAATACTACTATACTGTAGTGTGCAGAACGTTTATTAGGGATGAGTTAAGGGTCACTTATCTACTACGTGCAGACCTATCAGCACTTATATGAGGTATTTGATCGGGTTAAAGATGAATTTCAATCGGTTGAAGTTCGTTCCTTGATCTACGAATAAATTAACAATAACTTGTCATTCATATACATATATAAGTCCCACTTCATCATGGATGCAGTAAACGCGTTCTCATCTGTCTGTACCCCACACACCCCCTAAATTATCACTAACAAAACTTCAGAAAATCCTAACTCTATAAGAATCCATTATTTTGAGCTGAAGCACTCCCAATCTAGTCCCACTACTTCCAAGATAGATTATATGCAGTGGAGGGCGAGCAGCCATATTTACAAGCATATGCGTGCCACTTCCGAGAACTACTAAAGCGAGGATTTCTATAAATAACAAAATCAACCAAGTAAATCGAACCTCGTTTCCTTGTGTCTCAATGCGACATAGTCTGTTCCCATGCAAATTAGCTTCATCTCTCAACTCTTTGATAGTCCTAAAGACGAGTTAAAAAGTTCGAATGTAATACTTGATAAGAGATTCTTCTTTCCGATCATATTTTTCCAAAATCTCCAATTTTTCTTGTAGTAACTTAAGAGTCTGAAGAATTCAAAATAACTGACTATAAAAACCTCATCGTAAACTTGGGCTGAAGACTTTGCAAGACTTTGTGCTTCGTTAACTTCATCTTCGAGAGAACGAATTGATTGTTCTTGACTTTCTAGTCGTTTTTCTAAAGATTCATGTGCTCTAGAACGAATATTTTTAATAAATTTGGTACTTCTGACACTCAGCAGCTGATTTTTGAAGCTCACATAGGCGCTCAGTATTGACTCTGATAGTTTTTTCATGCTGTTCACGCTTTTGTTCTAAGCTATCTAGAAATCTATGTTTATCTTTGATTTCTGAGTCAAGCTAAACTATTAGATAACAATCCGAACGTATTACCTTTTTAACAAAACTTCTTTGAGACTCCTTTTCCTTACGTTTAAGGTCCAATTCATGAGACAATTTCGCAATGTTGTCATGTAAGTCTGATAGTTTAGCACTTATCATATTAACAGAAACCATGTTTCGTTAGTCATAAACTGTGCGCTTTGGAATCAGAAAGCTTCCGATTTTCAATATCTTCACTGTGAGCCACTTTACACTGAGCCTCACCAACCAAATAGTTTACTTTCGTGGCTAGTAGCTGTAGGATTTCCATCTTCAGGCATTATTAGGTCTGCAAATATCACGTTATACACCAAAATCAAAGTTGGTAGTTGACTTAGTTAATATTTTGTATGCATATACTTTATACTAGTTTCAGTTTGGGAAGGACAGGAGGCCCGATGGCTTGTGTTAGTCCTGGCAATGGTGGTCCCCTAGTTGATCCAACTTTCTTTTGAAAGAATCGACGGATGGAGCCTCAACCACGTGCTGAGGTAATGAGTTCCACTCGTTGATGATTCGATGGGAAAGTCGATAGTCAGCTGACAAGTAATTTGTTCTGGGCTTGTGAACATTTTGGAGTGTCCTCGTAAGTTCTCTGTTTTGGAAGACAAGAAAAATGAGGGCATGTTAGGTGCAAATTTATCACTAAGCAATTTGTAGACTGTAATCAAGTCGCCTCTAGTTCTGCGATATGACAACGGGAAAAGGTTCAGCTTGGCCAGTCGAGATTCATACGGAAGCTTCGCTATTCCGGGGATCAGCTTAGTTGCCGTTCTCTGAACCCTTTCCAGAAGCTCACTGTCGTTTTCTAAGCATGGGCTGGCCGCTTGTATGCAGCACTCAAGTTCAGGACGTACGAACACTGTATACAAAGTCAAAAACTTCTTGGCGTCAACATGACTAAAAGCCCTACGTATTGGCGGCTATTGCACGGCAGTGTGCAGTAGTCTTTAAGTCTTGACTAACGATAACTCCTAAGTCATTATATGTCTGGACGACAGGTAGCTCAGTGTTATTCATCGTGTATGTATCTATGCCTTGATGACCGATATGCATCACAACACACTTGGAAGTATTTATCGGCAACTGCCATGTTTGAGACCATTCAGATAACTTCTTCAGGTTATTTTGAAGTTCTAAGCTATCACTCTTACATCGTATCGTTCTCCATATCTTGACATCGTCAGCATATAGCAAGACCGATGATGATAGGAGACAAGGAAGGTCATTTACATACAAGAGGAATAGCACTGGCCCCAAAACTGTACCCTGGGGGACTCCACTAAGCACGGTTTCCCAGCTAGACAACTTGGAGTTCACCCTTACTCTTTGTTAACGCCCAACTAAGAAGTCTTTTATCCACATCAATAAATTACCTCCAATCCCGACTTGTCTTAACTTATATAACAGCCGGTTGTGCGGAACTTTGTCAAAAGCTTTACTAAAATCAATGAAGGCGACGTCTACAGGTAGCTTTTGGTCCTTAAGAGCACACCAGCTTTCACGATCCACTAATAAGTTAGTGAGACAAGAATAACCTATTCTAAAGCCATGCTGCTTCCCAGAAAGGATCCGATTTTTATCGAGATACTTAAACAGCTCCTTCCGAATAATCTTTTCTAAGATTTTAACAACCACACTAGTTAGGCTAACGGGGCGGTAATTCTCAGGTTTGTGTTTCGTACCTGCTTTGAAGACAGGACTTACTATGGCGTTTTCCCAGTCTTTCGGTAAACGATCCTGTGTAACGGATAGGTTAAAGCACATACTTAAAGGGTTCGCAACGAAGTTAGATAATTCCTTCAGTAGCCTAGGATGTAATTCATCGGGCCCCGTGGATTTACCTATGTCAAGCTTATTTAGTAGACCAAGGACATCGAGTTCTTTCATGGTCACGCTATCCAGTGTATGTGTGGTGGGATCTGTATGTGCTGATGGTAAGGGTGCTTCTATGGTATATACAGTGCTGAAGTAGTTTGAGAGCACTTAAGCCTTATCAAAGTCGTCCTCCACTAATGATGCGACATTACTGTCTCCTCATAGTGCAGGAATATTTCCTCTTCTCTTTGTCCTTTGGTTTATATAAGAATACAAACGTTTAGGACATTCTATGGATTCCTTAACAATCCTTTCTTCGTACAATTTTCTAGACTTATGGAGGGTCGAGGCACAGATATTCCGAACTTTTTTATACTGGGATTTAGTTTCATCAGTCCCCAGTAACCTAAATCTATCCCACATTCTTCTTCCCTTACGGAGAAGGATAAGACAACAATTTCAAGTTTATAGTCAAATACCACACACTGATTTTAGGATACTTCCTAATGTAAAGGAGTAAAAGAAAATTTATTCGAGACCTTCCATTTTGCCTTCATAAAACGAACTAAAACGAAAATAAATAGTCTTTTTTTCTTGCGGTCGAATCTACTCATGTTTGTTTGCTTCGTATTTGAAACAAGAACCCATTTGAATTCCATGCTGATTTTCTGACTCATTTACGCCAAGCAGTATATTCTGGACATTGTTTCATCAAAGTTATGAAACGCTTCACAAATAGCCTATAATATCCAAAACCTCTTGCCAGAGCCTCCCTTGAATCATCCGTGGTTCTGAGATCATTACTAACTATAACTATAACGGATAAGAATGCGGACCTCCATACTGAACCATGGTGGGGAGTTTTTCGGTCCCCTTGGTGTAGTCCAAGGGATATGGGGTGTGGTAACTTTTAAGTATGAATTTCGAAATGCGTCCCAAGCCACTTCAATTGAGGACTTTGGTTCTATTGACCAATCTACTAACGATGTTGAGTGCATGATATCTGGTATATTTGCTTTCCAGACGTTAGGTCTGGACTGGACTGACGCGTGCTCGTGACTGACAGTTATATGGAAGTCGAAAATTAAAACTGCGTGATCACTTTTACCTAGAGGTGGCATATAATGAAGCTTCGCAAGGTCATTCACATAATGAGTGAGTATCAGATCTAGTAAGAATGATTCAGTGTCCGGGTCATACCTAGTTGCTTCTTTCACATGTTGTACTAGAGCACATGTGATAACCGCATCAACTAGTTCCTGCTCGAAGGAATTTTCTGACGATTCAGTTCTCAGATTTGCCTAGTCTGCCATAGGTGCATTGAAGTCCCCTAAGATTAGACATCGACCACTTTGTGACCAAGTATTGAGACTGCTCAGCAGGACTTCATTTACCTCACAGCTTGGACTGCGATAGACCAAACCAATCAGCAGCTCTTGTCCCTTGCATTTCAAGCGGAGACTAACTACGTGAGACAACCTGACATATCTAGCGAACTAAGTGTTTTTACATACACCTTACTCCCCATATGAATTTTGAATTACATGTTCAGACGATCATATACCCGTTTAGTCGAGGAAAGCCATCAATATATCGAGGTGTTTTTCTGAGATATCTAGCAGCTGCAAGGGATTCGTAGCACGGCGCACCCACTCGTGATCTGCTGCATATGTGTGACCGAGCATCTTCAGCCGAATTGTGCTCAGTAAAACTAGTGAGGCCAGCAGCAATGCTGGTGACCTGCAGAACTATTTATTTTGGGTGTTTATTTGCCGCCATAAAGCTCACTTCCCCCCCCTAGTAAGATATTGATGACCCTAAGACACGGTCAGTCAGCAGTTTAAACCCTACGAGCGTTTCGTTGGTAAATACTCTACTAATAGCTTGTTATGTTCAGCAGCATTTATTCATCTTTCTCTAATATAGAGCGACATGTGATACAATATAGCGACAGAAACATTTCTGTTCACCTCATTCTTCGTCGGTTTTCTGTCATTTTCAGGCATCCTTAAAGAGGAAAAAAATGAAAGTGAAGATGCATGTCATTGTGCCTAAAGACACGGTGCGTCCGAAAAAAGCTGTTATGCATGAGCATAGATAACATGTCACAGCGAGAATATTTTGCGCAGTGATCTTTTGGACGTTTTTCGAGAACTAAAATATACGCATATATGAGCATAGTAGCAAAGGCACAAAGTTGATTTTTTCATGTTTGATGCAACAATACAAATGAAATAAAACAAAAAGTTATCCATTGTCCTACGCACAGTGGCCGTTTAGGTGTTCTGAGAACCTCATCCTTATTCCAAGGTGTGTTGTTTTTTGCCGATTTCTGGACACCAGAGAAGTTTCTCCGCTGTCGTTAACAATCAAGGATGGCAACGTAATCGTCTGGCTCGTTTCACTCGAGAGTATGAGAAGAAAACGAGTATTGTTACTGTTTTTAGTAATCGGCTTTAGAACGCTCAGTGCTGGCGTTATCGTCAGTTCCATTTTTATCGATAATATGGTACTTAGGTTGACGATTAAGGACTTTGAAGGATCCTTCGTATTCCCTTTCGAGAGGTCGTCGCAATGAGTCGTGACGTTCGAAAACGTGTTTGCTAAGTTGTGAAGCGCTTCGAACGAAAACATCAGTTGACTGAGGCCAATCGGAAACATATTTAGCTGAATGCATGGCGTTTGTAAGACCGCTCGTATAAGAGTTTAGATATGTATCTATAGAAAAAGGTGAATGATCTACAAATTCTCTTCGAAATCGGAATGTCGTTCCGTTAACGAGTTGGTCTGGAGTGCATTCTGTGTCAGCTTTCACTGCTTTACGTATACCAAGAGCAATAGTTCACTGTGAAATGTTTTCAGCTGAGGGTGAAGTCTTCAACCGTCAGTGAAGTGGTTCTACTAACTCGACAGCTTGTGTGGTCGTTCGGAATCGCGTATTTTCTAATAAACAACAGGAGATTCCAAATGCTAGTGGTCTGTTTGATGATCAGATATTCGGAAGTCTAACATGTGAATGAATTCCAGTTTGATCAACTTTAGCTCAACAGGGGCTAGTCGACGCGCTTTAAAAAGTACTGATGGTCCTGTAGCCGTGACGTGGTGTGCGATATCTCTGGCTGCACGAGGTAAATTTGCAGGTTGCGGCCTTGTAGCAGGTCTATATCAATGCTTAACATAGAAACACCCTCAACAACGAAAATCTAGTGAATGCGTTTTTGTGAACTATGGTTAAAACAAACAATTCTCCTACCGTATGTGGCGGTGGGTTCTCTATTTGCTGCCTATATATTGAAGACCGGTTCTTGTGGACGGTCATTATTGTTCACAGAAAGGATTCTTGCTTGTGAACTAGTGTCCA